TCGAAAGAAGTTTTGGAGGTTTGCACTGTCGTAGCGACGACGTGCGAGATTTTAATTCTCATTTTTGTCTTTTATTTCCTTCTAGTTTTGTCATAGCCATTAATTAGAAACAGTACAATTTGTAAAGTTATTAGAATTATTTGTTCCAATGTGAAAAAAAAGACGATGTTTAAAAAATTGGATCAAAGATTTTAATTTGTCACTTATTTTTCCACGTACAGTTTGCGCGACTGACCTTTATGTGTTACTGATTAAATTAATTGCGTCTTTGCTTTATATATTGCGCAGAAAGAGGAGTGAATTCACTGTTTGATTGGAATACTTTATGTAATTTAATTTTCTTATTATGCCCCAAGATTTAATAGGAATTCGTTTCAAATTTTCGACCATTGGTCGCACAAAATTGTCATGGATTATTCCTTTTGATAAAATAAGGCAGCTTGTGTTATTACAGACGGGCAGACATATGCAGGACATGGATGCAGAGACGTGACAACAGACGCAGAGTCGAAGACACGACAGCTGGAGAGTATCGTTTTGTAAAAAAAACTTTTTTTTTAGGAATTACACAAAACATGGATTCTTGTCTTATGCTAACGTCATTAGAGAGACTTATATATATCTTTGTACTATAAATTACTATTTTCATTATATCTTTATATCTCTTTTAAAATAGCGCGGATCTTTTTAGTCGTAAAAAACGCCCTCTTCAATACCATAATTCTCTGTACTATCACAAGAAGGTTAAAATTTGAGATTTCAACCGTTAACCGGATGCTATTTAAAACAACTGATAAGGTACGGTCTTTTTGGTCTGGAAATATATTATACTCGATCTCCAAATGCTGTCAAAGATATCATGAAAACTACGATCTGAAATTCACGTGAAATTCAGAGCCGAGTAGAAGCGAGGAATTTTTAACTTTGAATTTTAAATGATAAATATATATTTTCATCCTATTTCTATGAATAAAATATTGATTCGATTTATAAGAGGAAAAAGTTTTTAATCTTATAGAATTTCCCGTCTACCAATTTTGTCGCTGAAAATCTTCTGAACAAAGCGTCTTTTATCCTGTCCACTATTCTATTGCTCTGTTTACATTTTGAATCGCACATACTTCACGACAATGTGATTATACACCACCGCGCATAATTCTCTTTTTGATAAAAAGAGTAGGTAATTAGCCTTTGAGAATAGGAAATCTTAAAGTCTATTAGTTTAAATTTCATGAATGAAATAGACATTTGAAAAAACAGTCGTCTCACAGCAAACGTATCGAATTCCTTATCCAACAATCATCGAATTACAACGACGCAGTCACATCGATCGTTTTTCTTTAATTCTATGACCCTCGCCGCACGGGGCGTGGTCCCTTCGCAAGCGCGTGCGAGAATCAATTTCGCTGTCGCGGTATTCAGCGGCTGCGTGCAGCGCGCCCCCGCCCCCCCGTCACTCGCGACTCGAACCTCGGCGTCGCTCGACGCCCCGTCGCGTCAGCGCCACCGACTCGCCGACTGCCCGCCGGCGCCCGCCGACCTTAGCGCGCCCTCGCTACGCCCCGTCGGAAGCGGCTTGGCCAGTGTAGTTCCGTTCAATGCGCGAACTGCCTCCCGCTGCGCGCGTGAGGCCGCGGTCCTTCACGTCGCGCCAGCGCGTGAACAGAGAGGGAGGGGGGGGGGGCGTGGCGGGTTCTGCCTCGTACGGCGAAGAGTGACGACGGGCTGGCGGTAATTGGACGAGCCAATGGCTAGGCGTTCATGTTCCGGGAGTAGTAAAGGGGAGGTAGATAAAAGGGGTTAAGAAATTACATGAAATTACAATTATATCAGGTTTCCGGGCTCATCAATTGTAAGTCCCGTAAGTGTAGTGCATGTTTATATCACGGAAGATGGCGGTGAACTTCACCCACTGGATGATGGGGAGAGGGCGTGGCGGGTGCTGCTCTCGTAGGGATAGAGGTGACGACGGCCAATTGCTACGGCGTTCATATTCCGGGAAGTACGTAAAAATGGTTAAGATATTACATGCTTAATTATATCAAGTTTCTGGGCTCCTCAATGGCACTGGTTATTAGTCCCGTAAGTGTCCTGCTTGTTTATATCATGGAAGATGGCGGCGATCTTCACGCACTGGTTGTTGAGATCCGGCTCCGAGCTACACTCAGACGGGGCAAGCTCTAAGCTCTCGATGCGCGAACTGCCTGCCGCTGCCGCCGCGTGAGGCCGCGGTCCTTCACGTCGGCGCCAGCCGCTGAAGGGGAGGGGGCGTGGTGAGTGCTGCTCTCGTACGGCGGTAGGTGACGACGGCCAATGGGTACGGCGTTCATGTTCCGGGAGGTAGATAAAAGGGATTGAGAAATTACATGTTTAATTATATCAGGTTTCCGGACTCCTCAATTGCACTGGTTATAAGTCCCGTACGTGTAGTGCTTGTTTATATCACGGAAAGTGGCGGTGAACTTCACCCACTGGATGATGGGGAGGGGGCGTGGCGGGTGCTGCTCTCATACGGCGAGAGGTGACGACAGGCAATTGCTATGGTGTTCATGTTCCGGGAGGTCGATAAAAGGGGTTAAGAAGTTACATGCTTTATTACATCTGGTTTCTGGGCTCCTCAATGGCAATGGATATTAGTCCCGTAAGTGTAGTGCTTGTTTACATCACGAAAGGTAGCAGTGTTCTTCACTCACTGGATGTTGAGATCCAGCAACGAGCTACACGTCTCCTAGTGGGATTTTCCTCAACCAATTGTCTCCCACCAACGGACCACCGCCCCTGATAGGGAAAGCTGTAAGCTCTCGACTGGTCTCTCGACGTGTCAGGTTCAATGCAAGGCCTGCAGTTGTCGCCGCGTGGGTCCGGTTCTTCACGTCGTCGGCATCCGCTGAATGGGAGGGGGCGTGGCAGGAGCTGTTCGTATGACGAGATCTCGTGTGACGAAGGGTAGAGCAAATAGCTACGGTGTTCATGTTGACAGAGGGGTCAGGAAATGAAAGGGTTGACTACTTCGGGGTTTTCGGGCCCGTCAACTGCTAAGATGATTAGTGCCATAAGTGTAGGGCATGTTTTATGACAGAAAGTGCGGGTCTTTTACTCCCACTGAATTTTGAGATACGGCAGCCACATAGAAGTCGCTTTGTTATTTCGTTGTTCCAGGCACGTCTACTGCTAAAGTTATTAGTCGGGTACGTCGGGTCTACTGCTAATGCTATTACGTACGTGTACTCGTAGTACACGTTTTTTTTATCCCAAATTTTGGCGGTGATCATCCCCCACTGGGTAGTGAGATCAGGAGATAACCTACACGTAGGCATGCTTAGTTTTTTTCAGCCAGCTATCTCTCACCAGCGGGACACCGCCTCGGCCGGGACAAGTTCCCAATATCCGACCTGTCTCCTACGCGCAAGGTTCAATGTGCGGCCTCCCGCTGCCGCCGCGACGGGCTGGTCCTTCACGGCAGGCAGTGGGGGACGTGATGACTTAGCAGTCATCCCTCATACGACCGGTAGGTGGTGACGGGCTGCCGTAGAGGAGCAAATGACTTCTGTGTACATGATCCAGCAGGTAAAGAGAGGGGTTAAGCAATTAGTTATTTGGGGTTTCCGTGCACATCAATTGCGACAGTCATTGGTCGGGTAGGTGTAGTGCATGTTTTATCGCGGGCTGTCGTGGTCCTTTTCTCTCGCTAAATTGAGATATACAACGCTGACCTAAAAGTCGGCATCCGTGATTTTTCCGAACTAGGTATCTTCCGCCAGTGAGGCACCACACCTGTTGGAACAAGTTCGATGTGTCCGACTGGTGTCCCGTTACGTGTGATAATGCAGGGTATGTGAATGTTAGTAAGTAAGGAGTGAGGAAAATATAAGGAAGAGAAAGGAAAGATCTTTCGCGGGTTGTGGTCCGTTTGTTAAGGCACTGCTCCGGCATTCGCCTGGTGTTGATCGAAAAAAAGACACGGGCAACTATTGATCTGAGCAGCCGGCTGCTGGAATTTCTCTCCAGATATCGGCTGAATTCGACTTAGCCATGTTGCTAGTGTAGAAAATCCTGCGACTGTTGGGAGTGGAACTGTAGAATCATCCGGTCAGATGCACTGCAGTGACTTCAGTTAATGCCCTGAGCCACCTCTCAGAGTTTCCCCTCTCGTGTGGCAGCCAGGATGGCACCCCGTTGAATTGTCGTCTTCATCGAGTTAATGCCCATCATTTACGAGTATTGAGGAGGGACCATGCCAATGCAGTCAGTGACGTTATCAACTGCTGTGAAAACAGGAAGATGGCAAGACTCGAGCAGACAGGACGGCCCCTCCCAAGTCATGAGAAGAAGTACGCCCCGCGTTTATCGTGTTTCAGTTTTTCCAGACGCCAGACAAACAATGTACTTGCACACTCACGGGGATCGTTGATTAGATTCATTGCTCAGGACCCTATCTGGGTGTGTGAAAGTAATGTACACGTTGTGTGGAACACAGCGGTCGACAAGATTTATACATACTGTTCCTACAGAAGCCAGGATATGAGCGAGGTCGAAGTCAAGAGCGAGGTTGAAATCAAGGGCGAGGGAGAGAGCGAGGACGAGAGCTTGGGCGAACGCAAGGGCGAGGTTGAGGGCAAGGTCAAGGGAGAGAGAGAGGGACAGAGAGGGAGAGGGTGTGAGAGAAACAGTGAGAGAGAGAGTGAGAGGAGTAGGGTGAGGGGAGGGCGAGGCGAAGGTAAAGTCAAAGGCGAAGAAGAGGGCGAGGGCGGTGATGAGGAGGAAGAGGGAGAGAAAGGAAGAAAGGGCGGGAGAGGCGGAGGGAGAGATTGCGTGGACGGAGAGAGAGATAGTGAGGGGTTAGGGACGGTAAGGGCGAAGGCGAGGGCGATGGGACGAAGGTGCTGACGACGAGGGAGAGGGGGAGAGATGATGAGAGAATGTGAGAGAGGGGGAGAGTGAGGGATTGAGAGGGAGAGACAGGGAGTGAGAGAGGCCAAACGGAGAGACAGTGAGGAAAGATGGAAGGTAAGGGCAAGGGTGAAGGTGCCGGCGAGAGCGTGAACGCCAGCGAGGACGTCGGCGCGGGCGAGGAGGAGGGCGAGGACGCGGGCGAGGGCGCCTCTGTCAGGCGACCGCCTCGCCCTCCCCTCGCGCCTGTCACATGCCCGCCGCCCAAATTGATTGCAGCGTCAACGAGAAGCGCGTGCATGGCGCCTCTGGAGGAATCGCATTCAGGAGCGACGGCGCAGCGCACGGCCAGAAACGGCCTAAAGGTCACACCAAGAGAATGGAGGCCGTGTGAACCATGGACACAGTTTGTAAAAACACTTAAATTCAATGATTGATCATGTTTGGGGTGCTGAGCTATTATTGAATAATAAATTCATTTCAAAATACTTTCACAAATTTCACTGTGAGCATTTTAATATCACACTAAATTACATTGAATTTGAGGACACCATACGCAATGCAATGCTGAACACGAGTGTTTTTTGATTCTGGGCCAGTCACCTGCAATGTATACTAGTCCCGTAAGTGTAGAACAGGTTATATACGGTGATGGAGCAGTGTTCTTCTCCCACTGGAACGGGAGATTCTTCATCGATGTATAAGATGGCTAGCATCCTCCTTGTATCTTCGGTATCGCCACTTCTTCCCTTCTAGGATTGATTGATTGATTGATTGTTAGTGATTCCGAGCCTGATTGTTAGTGATTCCGGGCGCGTCAACCGCTAGGATATATTCCCGTAAGTGTATTGCGTGATTTTTCTTGGAGAATGGCAGTGGTCTGGAGGTAGCAGTTAGTGTATAGCGAGACTGACGGCGCTGACCTACAGTTGGCTAGCAGAGTTTTCCGCAACCCGCTATCTCCTACCAGTAGGGCACCGCCACTGCCGAGACAGGCTCTAATCGGCCTCCCGGCATGTGTGGTAGTGTAGTGCGTGTTAGTGTAAGTGTGTGTAAGGGAGGAGGATAGGACAAGGAAGAGGTAGGAAAGATCACGCCCTGTCCGTGGCCCGTTTGTTACGCTACTGATTTGGCATTGACCAGAGAATCCATGGAAAACTACGGATCAGAGCTGCCGGCCGATAGAATTCTCCTCCAGACAGCGACTGGATTCGACCGAGCTGACAAGCCAGTGTCGAAAATCCTGTCACCGTCGGGGATCGAACGTTGGACCTCCCGGTCAGAGGGACTGCAGGTACTCGCAAATGTATGCGTAAATGTAAGTGAAAGGGGAAAAGAGGGGACTTGACGGGGGTAAGTTCGTGTGCGGTCGGTGGCCCGTTTAAAAAGGTTCTGCCTCGGCATTTACTCAGTATTGATCAGAGAATCCAGCCAGACGTTACAAATAATCTCCATACCTAGGTTTAAGGGGTTGCCATACTAGGTTGAACGCCAGAACATTGTGATCAACAATGTGTGAGAGGCAACAATGTTGCTGGTGACTTATTGCAGTCAGTACGGTTCAGTATTGTTCTCTAAATTACTCGTAGGTAATTGTTGTACAGGCTGCAGCCACTCTGTGGTACTCCCTCCTGAGTAGCAAGATAACTGATTTCCGAAATATGATTTTTTTTCACGGATTATTGAACTTCAAGAAGGTCCTCGTCTACGTCATTGGATTCTTAAAGGTACTATGAAGTACTACTAAGGAATGAGCAAGAATCTTACATTTATAAAAAGAATGTAGCGCTGGGTTCTCTCAAACCATCGCTTTAATTTTTTTAATGCTAAGCTATAAAATTCCTGCGTTTAAAAAACGATATAAAATATATTAATCAGTAAATTTTTTTAAAAAATAATCTAAAATATACTCATTAAACTACTAATTTGAGACTAAAAAATCAGAGTAAAAATTACAGGAAAAGTTCTTGTAACATTGTTGTCATTGAAAAACTAGTAACATCTAACCTGAATAATAACATGTGCAGAAATTGTAACAACTGGTTAGAACATCTGCATTCAGTGGCAACAGATGTGGATACGTGAAACAAACTTATGTTGATAGAAATACTGAATTGGACTTGGGAAGGGAATACATATCACGTGAAAGATAATATATACTTTTTCATGATATTGAATGAGAAAAAACAATACTTTAAAAACATTATTTCTTTACATAATTTGTAAATATTATACAAATCGATTACGCGATAATGATAATAGTTAACCATGTACTTTTAATAATCCAACTTCCATGTACAAATCTCTTTTTATCAATGTTTTTGTAACACAGGGCGCCATATTACATTGTTGTATCTTCTACAACCGACTTTTCAGTAAATATTACTTTTTTGTAGCTAAGTGTTCTGAGTTGTATCTCTGAATTATATCTGAATTCAGCAGTATTTGTTGTTATGGTAGCAATAATTGATGCTCGCTTAATAAAAACAAATTTCTCAAAAATATCTCATCCAACCAACATGAACAAAATTATATTTAAAGATCTTAATTAAGACATTGGTTTCATTTTCTTTAATAAGTAACAGGAAATATTATCACAAAACACGTTCTTTCAGATTTTCTCAATTCTATTCAGCTTCCTCATAGTTTATTTACAATGAAGCTTTCGAAAAATAGAAAAGCAGTCTAATCATATGAATATTTCAGGAAAACATTGAAGCTGCGTGCACAAGTATGCAAAATATCGCTTTACGTTGAGTCTATGGACTCTAAAAAAAATCACATTCAGCTTTTGAAAGAAAGAGTTTCTGAAGTTCAATTACATTTAGAGAGTTCAGCCAGAATTGAAATATATTAATTGGTGAGTAATTTGTTAACTAATACTTCCCTCTATTTTTAATTTACCATCTGTGGTTTTGAAATCAAGTAATCCCTAGTTTCCAAGTTTTTAATTGATTGATTATTGATTGCGGACGCGTTAACGGATGAGGTCATTAGTCCTGTAAGTTTAGTGCATGCGTTTTTCTGGTCGACCTACCGTCGGTACAAAGCGTTTTCCAGTACCAGCAACCTCGTACCAGAGGGGCGACGTCCCAACCGGGACAAGCCCTTAAGTTTACGACTGGACTCTCGACATACGTTGCGGTGTGTCAGTATGCGGAAGTGCGAGGTGAGGATAGGACAAGGAAAATGAAGGATTGCGCGCGGTACGTAGCCCGTTTGATAGGGGACTTCTCCAGTATTCGCCCAGTGTTGATTTCATAAACTACGGAAAAACTATCGACCAGAGAAGCCGGCCGCCAGAATTCTCGTACAGAGACCGGGTGAAGGAGAGCTATTTAGATATCTTGCCAATGACGTTGCTACGAAGCTACCAAATTCTACGAAGGTAATTCGACATAGCGAATATTTATACAAACCATTTGTCAAAAAAAATACAAATCAAATAGTTGCTTATAAAGTTTAAGAATGCAGCTACGATTCGCGAAGAGAAAAAGTAATTGAAAGTAATGTTTTTAAATAATTTTCATTTAAGTTTTAGTTAAGCATAAACTAACTTTGTTTATCAACACATATTCTTTACTTTTATGATGAATCCAAATATATTATTATCGACGACAAATATTAAACCAAAATTCATGAAGAGATTCCGTATTCCATAAAAACTAGTATTTTTTCTTTGTTGAATCATATAATTTTCATTTGAAACATACGATTAAATAATTTAGGAACATAATTTCATTAGCCTCATCATATTGTAATGATGAAAATAAGTTGTTTTTTTTTTTGAAAATCCTTGGCAACGAGAAAATTAGAATGGAGACATATGTACCACCTCCTCTGTCAGTCACCTGGAAGCTTGATGCATTGCAGCTGCGGTAACATTTCAATGCCACCATCTAACACGTCAGCCAACCACATGTTATTTACTCAACTGTTGAGGTCATGTTGAAACAATTAGATCGAAGAAAAACTGGAAATATTAGAAGTACTAACTGTTTGCAGTAAAATAAATTGTCTATGGATGTAAAGGATTTGTCTGAACTAATATTAAGAGCTTTTGTACTCAAGCGAAAGAAATCTGTCTCAAACAATTCGCTCAGAAATGCGCGAGGTTTCGAAACTATTATTATCTGTTAGTAGATTTGTGTGAAAGCAGAATTCAACTCGCATGCTTGAGCTGTGAATGAGTAACGTAAAACCGTATTAGATGTATTTCAAGGCTACATATACTCACCTATTGTTCATGATTCTTGAAAGTAAATGAATTGAACACTAAATTAAGTTCTTTATGCTACGCTTTCGGAATTCTTTCAAATTCAGTCAGCCTCCACACTTCTCGTTGTGTATACTTCGCGAATGTTCATTTCCGCCTGTGATATGGTATAATATTCCGAGGAAACACATTTTATAGCTCCCAGACTTTTGGATTACAAAAAAGGATGGTACGAAAAATAAGCAAATCCCACCCATAATTCTACATGATTCTTGAAAGTAAAATAATCTCACGTATCCAAAGATACATTTGATAAAAAATTCCATTTTTGTTGCTTAGATGTCCGCAAATGAATGTTGATCAAAAGTAATCTCAATACCAAAATTAATTTCAACAATTTGACTAATGAAAAAAATGATGATAGCAATTTCTATACAATATCCCCATAATCCAAAGTTTTGAAAAATAAATAAAATGTGTGATAAAGTGGTAAAGCATCAAATTAAAAGTTTATTTCTATTTAATATTGGCTTTATTTTTCTGTTAAAATGACGTATCTGATAATGAAATATTATTTTTCACGTACTTTTATTTTTAGATAATCCTATTGTTTTAATAGAAAACGTGGCTTTTGGTACGTAGGAAAAATACTTACCAGATTTCTTTTGGAGCCCGAAACTGCATTTAATTATTACCACAAGAAAAAATCAAGAAATCCATTTCAAAATGATTTTAAGAAGGTGTAATAAACTTGAGAGCAAGAATTGCTTGGGTTTTCCTCAGCCAAAGCTGCACTCCTTTGAGGTGTATTAGGGTTGCAGTCAATCTGAAGGTTTTATTTTTTACAATTTCGTTCTAATTTTATACAAATTGTAAAAAGGATTACTATGTCGAGTGATGTAGTTATAGACAACGGAGTTTGCTGAAAATATATTCCCGCCCATAAGTAAGTCATTTTTGACAAACAAATCCTGTTTCATACATTAAGAGGCAAGGTAATAGTAAATAATAAAGAAGAGAATCACGTGGGTGTGATTTGCTTATTTTTCGTACCATTTTGTTTGTAATCTTAAAGTCTGGGAGCTATAAGATGTATTTCCTCAGAATATTAAACCACATCTCAGGCGGGGATGAACATTCGCGAAATATACACAACGAGAAGTGTGGAGGCTGACTGAATTTAAAAGAATTCCGAAACCGTAGCATAAAGAACTTAATTTAGTGTTCAATTCATTTAATTGGACGTTCCATGTAAGGTTTGACTGAATTGAAAGACCTAAAAATTTTGTTACCTTAACATCAGTCAAAGGCACGCCGTTCCTTTTCAGTGAAGTACCGAGCTGTTTATTTGAAATGGAGAAATGCATTGAAACATTTTCTTTTTATTGACTATTAATTTGTTATTACGAAACCAATTTGAAATATCTGATATTGTACTATTTACGGTTTCTTCATTGCAAAGAATATTCGTATCGTCCGTAAAGATAACTGTTCTTCCGTTTCTAATCGTCGAGGAATATACCACATGTTAAAGGATTTTTTTAAATCTAGCAAATAGATTAATCCTCTTTTTCGTTACTAGGGCCCAGTAATAGAAGTTTTCTGCAAAAAATTCGCCATTTTGTTTTTCGTACAATCGTTACATAACTTTGTTTCTACTGCGTAAGAGGTAGCAAGAAAGTAAAACGGCCTTAGTTGCGCTTCTGTAGTTATGCGTTTACTGTGGGCATGCATCTGCTTTGCTGTCCCGCTTGGAGCGTAAAGAGCGAGCCGCACCCGTGTAATACACCCACACGTATGTAATACTCCCGTGGTGTATGCACGCCTTGCAGCTGCGCGCTCCCACCCACGCGCACGCTTCAATGCGTTCTCTTCCTGAGGCGCGCGCGTGCGCTCGCGTGCCGTTACCGCTACGCACGCACCGATCGTCTTGAGATGCTTTGCAACAGGGTTGCTACATGGAGCGCGCTGGAAGCGGTGGCTCAGGGCATTGATGTGATGAGTCTGAAGCCCGGATGGTATTTTGAGACTCTGGTAGCTATTTTTGTACTTCAGATTCAGCTAAGTTGACTAGGAATAGGAATCAAATGGCTAATGACAATTAATGTATGAACACGTGGTTTTAAAGGTTTATGAACAAATTTATTAGAGAATCTAATAACTATTTTATACATAGATGACCTTAATTGCAAAAGCTAGCTTTGCTACAATTTGGTACCAATGTTTGAATAAGTTTAGATTTAGTTACGAAACCGTTGTGCTGGCTTCCAAGTTGAATGAGCCATGTGTTCTCCTGGCCACAACCTTTGACAGGAATCCCGTTGTCTTGATGATGGTCGCTCCCTTTTCAAGTTGTGATTGCAAACTTGTATAAATGAGTGCACAGGGCTCCACTTGATTTGAACTGCTAACGTTAGACTGCCTTTGTGTAGTTACATTTGCCAACTGACGAAAAAAATGCCCACCTGCTCCCTTGGTTCGCATATCACCGGCAGAATGCCTTTTCTGCCCTCTGTCGGGGAGCGAGGAACTTCTGCAATATTAGTAGTGGTTTGCATGAACGTTAAATCGGCGTTTTTTGTAACAGATGTCACTTGCAGTGCCTCTTACCGAGTGGTCCTGAATTGAATTGAATTAAATTTGCCTTATTTTACGTGTCGAGACTCGAGCCATCAGGCCCGCTCTTCCGTCTGATCACGCAAATTTCGCTACTCTCCTTTCATCAACTAGCAGAGAAACGAGGTATTTCTTGGGCGAGAAACAGGCGATTTGAATTTAGCTCAGAGGCTATGTCATTTAGGCTTGAGGATCTTTTACATGCAAGTAAATCTACTAACATGGGACAGCCGGCTTTACTTCCCTTCCGAAGGAAGGCGTACGAAGGATTTTGTCGCCCTAAAAATCCACGGCTTCGATCGGTTTTGAAGTTCGGGTCCTAGGGTTGGAGTCCCGACGGTGGAAGAATTTTCGACACAAGCTACACATCGGGAGAGTCACTGCAGTGCCTCTGACCGGGAGGACCTAGGTTGCTTTTTATTGTTTTTAACGTAAACATACTTTTATTTCTTGCCAAAATTAGGCTGGCGAACTATATGTCGATTCATGAGATAAAGGGGGTCCTAGGGAGTCCTAGGGAACCCTAGGGATTCCTAGGAACCTTCCAACGGTGGCAGGATTTTCGACACTGGGTACATAGCTAGGTCGCATTCAGGCGTCGACCTACCTTCGGCTAGCTGGGTTTTCCCAAACAGGTATCTCCCACCAGCGGGGCCCTCTCCCAGCCGAGTCTAACTCTAAGTTCCCAACCGGTCTCCTGGCATGTATGATAGCGTAGTGAATGTGTGTAGTGAGAGCATCCGGCCGCTAGAATTCTCCACCAGACTGTTGATTGCTTCCTCCTCGGCTCCTGCACCCTGGTGAACGAAGTCTAAGGAAGTGGGGTGGGGGTGGAGTAGCGGGAGGGGATAAGCATCGGAAGCAAGATCTCCTCCCCACCGCCGATGCGGTCCCTTGCGTCACCGATGGCACTAGTCAACAATGGAAATGTTAAATAAATATTTTTTTGTTATTTACGTTGACTATTCCACTCGTGAAATTAAAACCAATAGTGTTTAACTATACCCACCAAATACCCCAATCATGGCGGTGTTTCTCAAAAGGTTTATCGCTTTTTCTATCCGATTTTTCTTATCACTTCTGCCTACTGGGCAATAATAAACTGTGACGCATCAATCATAGGATGTGTTATACATCGATCAGTATATCGATGTCCAATAAACAGTGTATGTAATACAACATAACCTTTGATGTTAACATACGCTTCCAGTTATTTTCATTTTTCGGTGCATTTTGGAACTCTGATGGACATAATTTCACTCGGGGAATAGTCTTGTTAAATACCACTCGTGCTTTAGAAATTATCAGATAAATCTCCTCCCCGCTTCGCGAGTAAGGAATGTATCGACAATTTCCAACACACTCGTGGTATTGCCTATGATAAACACGCAGTTTGCCTCTTAGTAACCAACCATCTAAACAACGCCTTAAGACCGCGTCCATAGCAACGGCCATTAGAATGCTTGAGAGTCCATCCCTCCCGGATTACTTCGCCATTGCTACCTGGGGACCGTGGGCAGTTCTTCATGTCATTACACTTAGTGTTAAGACTTGAAAGGATACTCCCATTGCAATTTTTTCAGACTCACTATTAACTCTGAAATCTGGAAATTTGAGAACAGAACCACATCCAATCTAATTATCCAAATAATTCAGGAGGTTCTAAAAAAGCAAGCTATAAATGGGACCCAAATAGAAATAATATAGATCCCCTCGCACAATAAAATCATTAGTAATGAGAAAGCTGATGCAGCCGCTAAACTCGCCACATCAATTATCTGCCCCGACAACCAAATTCAAAGCACTTTTCAAGACTTGAAATAGTTTGTAAAAGACTCCTGCCTCAGTTATTGGGACTCTCACTCGAAATTGGATGTTTTCAAACTCGATTTAGTAAGACCATCTATTCTTGACACAATTCTACCCATTTTAACATTTTCAAAGAACAGAACCATTAGAATTATAACCAACGTTATAACCACTAGACTAAAGATAGGTCATTTCAATCTCAATTTCTGCCATCCATTTAAGAGATCATATCCATAATCCTACCCAAAGTGTGGTGTAGCAGTCTCCACCTCCCACCTTATTATTGAATGCCGTGCTACTAACAATATAAGTTCTAAAAATTAAAGTAATCCTACAATAATTACTCATTTCCACAGTCCTGTGTGCCAAAATAAAATTCTTAGCAACTACAAACTGTAGTTAGATTAAACCGTATTTTATCCGAAAATTAAATAGGGCTAAAATATTGTTTTGCGAGTATAATGTTCATATTTTTAAGACGTTTCGGAGACATGCTTTGTACCAGGCACATTTAATACAATTTATCGTTAGCTGAGGACTTGATAATTAAGTTAACCACGTATATATCCGTTACGTAAAAGTTGCGGGAGACACATCCATATCTTCCGAATGAATCCCGAAGGTTTTCGCTAACCATAATTTCTATTAAATGTGTCTGAAGCAAAGCATGTCTCCGAAATGTCATGAACAATAAAAAAATAACAAAACAATATTTTACACTCTTTTAATTATCTATTTTTTGTTTTATTTTGTTTAATTATATCATATTTTATCTATTACTAATAATTAAAATCCTGAAACACATTCATAGATCTAATCCATAATAAGTAGCCGAAATAGTTTATCTGAGGAATTGCACAAACTTTGTTTTTCTTCGTGCACGTAAAAAAATACAACAGAAGAGAGAATTCATCAGCATGTTGTGCCAATTTCTTTACTTTTTATAATAAATTAACTCGGAAATCGTTTAGTCATAACTATCAAGTTTTATTGATTTATCAATAGCTCAAGATTTTTCACAGAGATAAAATTACGTGTGTTTGTACGTAATTTAATAACTTTTACCGCATTATCTTTTTTCCTGGTAATAATTTGAATATAGAGATAACGTGAATATAAGGGTAATTACTGGCTTTATAATATTATAATTTTACTTTTTTTATAGAACTTATAGAAAAATCAAACGTATCCTGGTGATGTAACAGAAAA